ACTGGTGGATTTGATCGGCAGAGGGGTTATATCGGATTTGGAGGGGGAGGTGGGATGAATTTGATAGGATAGGAAGATCTATAGAAATAGCTGGGCGGTGATTATCGTAGAAAAGGAGGGATCTATAGTAAGGTAGGGAATCGATCTCTCGCAAATGTCGGTGAATGGTGAGCGACTTACACTTAAACACCGGTAATTGCAGCTTCAGAACACCATGCTCCCGGCTGCGCGCCATTTGTATCAATGGTACACGGGCGACTATACCACTCCACAGGAAGGTGGGCACCTATACTCACGCAGAAAAAAAATATTTTAAACGTAATAATATTTGACGTAAAATCAATAAGAATTTAATTTTGTTTTGGCTGCAAAAACAATCATTTTTGTTTCAACAATCCAGTATTTTTGTTCCTCAAAACCAATGGATTGTTAAATCAAAAAGAAAATCTTTTCGAATTTACAAGAGCTTTCATGGTTTTGACGTTAGCTAAAAATTTGGCAGCTAGGTCAACAACAAAAATATGTTTGTTTTAAAAAGAGATTTCTTGTTGATTCAATCATATTTATTTTATGAAGTCTGACAATTCACGCAGTAGAAATAAAAATATGTTTATTGATTTAAAAATAATATGGCCAATTTTTTTTTATGTTTTGTTTTCTGTTTCACTGATCACGCCTTCCTTCGGAAGGGAAGTAAAGCCGTTGGTCCCCGGTTCATTATTTGATGGGTCGATATGTAGGGTCCAGGTGTGGGAGCTGCCTTCTTGGCGTTGGGAGCATTGGTACTCAGTAAGGAAAGCAAGATCGACGGAAAACAATTCAAGGAAAAAAGCAGCTCAAACTGCAGCATACTTACTTACCTCAAGTCTCAAGATTTTAGGAAATTTTGCACTTATTTCCCGAAATTCACAATTAAAAACAATACTTACGTGAAACGCGGAAAAGAGCGGAATCAAACGAGAAAAGTTTTATTATTGTATACATTTTTCTCCGGGTGAAAACGAGGGAATGGTTGGTAGTTATTTTTGCATTTATGGCCTGGGGAATGGACACAGCAAATAAATGCTGAATTAAAATTAACTATTGTTGGATTAATAATAGAATATTGTTATTTTTACAATAGATGCAGTTGAAAAGTGGCTTATTAAAATAAAAATAATCATATTTTGAATTAATATGAATAAGTATTATTGAAACAACAAAATGCAATATAATTTTAACCGGAATTGTTTGTTTAAATACAACTAAAGTTTTTTTTTTGGTTCAATGCAAACAATTTTCTGTCCGTGCTTGACGTAATTTTCGCTAGGTGTACGCCTAGTGGAGGTAGAATGGACGAAAGTTGCCAAATCCAAGATGTGCCAAACGTATTCAGCACAGTCAACTTCTGAAGTAGGGTCAGGATTCGAGACGACTGGAGCCACATCAGTTGCGCAAACTTGCCAACCATCGCATTCCAATTCAGCGTCGTCATCAGCCGGATCGAGTTGGCGAAAATCACTCCCAGGATCTTCACCGTGCTGGCAAGCGTGCTGGCTGTTTGCAGCCACTGGACGTCGATTTGATTGCCTTCGCAAAATCCAACGTCAATGGCAACAGTTTTGCGTACATTCAACTTGGCGCCGGCGGCTATTTCGAAACGCGTAAATAGCCCATGAATCGAATCGATTTGTGCAGTTGATGTGACGATCACACTGATGTCGTCCGCATATGCCACCAGCAGATCAAGTCCATATGTTTGCTCAAGTCTGCACACAAGCGGATGAAGGTACAGCACGAAGAGGTGCATCGTCAACGGGTCCCCCTGCCGCACCGAGCGCTGGATATCGATCGGCCGTGAGAGATGCCCGTTCACGAGCAGTCGAGAGGTGGAGCGGGAAGCGATCTCGGAGTGACGAGATGCTGGTTGAAGCCAAGCGAGCGCATGGTTTCGAAAAGGAAAGAGTGCCGGACCCGATCGAAAGCGTGATCTAAGTCAAAGCTGATGAGTTTCCCGGCGCTAAGATGATGACAGAGACTAGCTATCCGATCTTTAAGAGCGAGAGTACAGTAGTTGCCTAGTAGCTAGCTCATTAGCGCTAGTGAAATAGCATAAGTGTAAACACCCCAAGGGGTAAGTCACTCAGCACATTATGCCGCAATTAGGTTCGGTACAGTTTGGGCACATCCATCGGCACACCTTCGGCACAATCTCGTAGGCATTTGTGAGCACTGCTGGTCACTAAGGTTGTTCACAACATTACGTGCTGTTTGGCTGTGTATTCAAGAACATTCTCTAATTAAATATACCAGAGGAACTCAGAACAGTAGTTCACTTCTCGGTTCACTTATGTGTGGATTTAAATCCGAAATGCCGCTAGACCTTGCGATTTCTAACTAAAACATTCAAGGTGTCAGAAATACCGGGTTACCGGGATGGGTATTTTACAAACAATCGCAGCTTGCTTTATGACCGGCACAATCGGCACACTTGCGGCACACTGAAAAAAAAGTTGACCCAAGATTGGTGTGCGGAGTGACCTACCCCTTGAAACACCCCATTATGGGGTGTTTACCTTATGCTATTTCACTAGCGCTAATGAGCTAGCTGCTAGCAAAAAAGCTCACAAACATAATGTAAACAGGGCATCAGCGTCTACTAGCATGACATTGCAGGAGCAACTGAAATTCGTGCTAGTTGGCGAGTACACTAGCGCGAGTAAATCCGCACAGATGTAAACGCCCCATTAGTATGTGGTGCGCTCGAATCACACCCTGGGGGAGAACGTGCTGTCAAATCAGCCTACTGATCATTCTTATATGAAACTGGTTCCAAACGTAAACAAACGCTGTAGGTTTCTTATGGCTTGTTTACGTTTGGAACCAGTTATGCGTGGTAGGCGACGATTGTTCGTATTTGACAGCCACCTACCCCCCTTGATCACACCCTCCAGCCGGGTATTGAGAATGCGAGAAAATAGTTTGTAGTCCGTGTTTAGTAGCGATATGGGACGATACGAGCGGGTTGTGTCGTCGCCACCCTTCTTCTTGACCAACACAATGATACACGAATGTTGCCAGTGAGCGCTTCGTTCAACACCAGATTGAGTTCTCGGTGGATGACGTCGAACATGCGGTAGTAAAATTATTTCGGGAGACCATCACAGCAGGGGGATTTACGGGATGCGCTGGCTCGTATTGCAGCGAGAATCTCTGACGTGGTGATTTCAGTCGAACTCGAGCATGCTTCATTTAACTCATCATTGAGTGGTATGGCATTCTCGCAGACGAACGCAGTCCTACAAAGCATAACCCACACTTAACCTCTCTTTTTCGAACGGATATGAACTCAAAAATGGAGTAATTATCCTATAGATGACTTCCTAATTTATTTAACTTTCTATACGTATACGGTATACTGTTGGACTTGCTAAAGAGTCACAAATTATTGAGATATTGTAAGAAATCTAACACTGCTTCTTGCTTGCAAATTCGTTCTACGAGTTTCAATTCCGTCCTAACGCATTGAAACGCCATTGGTTTTTCTTCGTTCTACGAATGAAGACAGAAGAAATGGATGAGTTTAAATATTCATACAACGCACTCGTATAGGCTTTGTGTTGTAGCTTATGAGCTAACGTATCGAAACAAACGTATTATTTATTTTTTGTACGGTGAAATCATGGATATTATTGCTGATTTCGGCTCGATAGAACGGAAATGGGCGATTACGACGAAGTAGCGCTGAAAAGTGCTATTAAATTTGTTAAAGCTTTAGGTAGCAGTAACACTTCCTTCAGCAAAAAGGAAGAGAGCACGATGTGGACTGTCCATACGAATTCTAAAAACATGTATGAATGATTGTCCACGCAAGGCGCGGGCTGGGTGTGGTTTGGTCCAAAACCTCTCAAAATCTGTCCACATGATCTGTGGACAACCCTTTACAGTTACATTAATCCTAAATAAGACCAAAGTAAAAAGGTGATGAAATGAGCGGTAATTGGTACACATCACATTTGCAGTGTACCAACAAATTTTGATTCAGAAACAAGTAAAAGCACTGTGGTTCTCAAGAAACATTGTTTGAGGCATGCATACTACATTCAAATTTACCCACCTGCAATTGCAATTGATCCGAAAAATAGTGAGCGGTACCTATATGCAGCATGAGCGGAGACTGGTTCATTGATGGTATATATTTATTATTGGCGTCACCGTCACTCTGTAGCTCTTTACTCCTACGGTAAAATCCATAAGCAAACGTCAGGCTGTGCGTGAAACATGGCGAACTTTGTACTATCCTTTCACTCAACCGAAAAATCCCATAAGAAACTGTCAATCTTTTCCAGAAGAGACGGTGCCGTCAACGCCAATTCGATGTAACTCGACTCTGTGAAGTTTTTTTTTAATAAACGAATTGGAAAAAATGCAGTAATTATTTAGTAATCAGTAAATTAATTTTCGGATTTCAAAAGATAACACGTCAGTTCTTAGTCGACACATGTACACCGTACACATCTTACTATAAATATATTTCCTTCTTTCATACTATTTACACTTCGCTAACAACAGATTTCATTCGATGAATGGCTCTTAGTAAAATTTATATTAATATCACATTTCTTATGTGGATATTAAATATAAAGTCTCAACGGTTTCCTTACGACTACATATAAAAACTACTAGTACTTTCTCGGCTTCTGCCTTAACTTAAATTTGTTGCCTTTTCAAGTTATTTATATATTCGCTGAGTTGACAATTTTGCCATTTTTATATTTCCATTTTAAAAAGCTAATATAATGAAAGCAAACAATAGATGAAGGTACACTTAAAAATCAATGAGCAGTGTTAAATAACAGATTGAGCCGCATCAACAGAGGTTACATGTTCTAAGATTTGTCTCTTCTCATAAATAAATGTGTTTGTTCAGGTTTTACTTAAGTAGATTCATGACCGGTTTTTAATCATATGGCTTTTGCAATTTCTTGATGACTAATAGTATTAAGTAATATTTTCTCCAAAATCAGGTTTTTATTGGACTGCTGAATTAATGTTTAATCACAATCTGGATCTTGATTGGCTGAAGTAATATCAATTTGATATTTATCGTATCGAGCACAGCTAATGCGGCATCTGATTGGCAACTAGACAAATTAACAAAACACTAACAAACTAAAGGAACTATCAGATAAACTGAAACTAACACCTGCTATGCACTTAAGCTCTCTACTAACAGCAAGTGAAACTTTTCGTGTAGATTTATAATTGTTACACTTACATTGCTGATGATTTGGTGTTGATGGCTGCTGAGGCAAAACATCTTTCGGTTAATTTAAACTTGAAATCGGTAACGTCTGGGCAAAATTTGATTTTATGTGGTATGGCTGCATTTGTGTACGGTCTGTTTTCGTTACATCACGGTACCTGCTAGCATCTGATTCTCGGTTTGACACTCTATCGTGTCTAAAAAAGTGTTCTGGTTGCAACAAAATGTGTATACCTTTACGAATTTCGAAAACTTTTTGAAAACACTTTAAAATATACATAGCTGCTTAATTTGACTACAAATAGACACAAAACTCATTAAAATATACAATTTCAAAAACGCGTACAAAACACCTCTAGACGAAAACGATAACCAAACGGACTAATATTTCAGCTAGGTGCGCTCTCAAGCAGCGATACTATCTAATTTATCATAAAACTAATCACATAATTTAGTTCACAACTAGCTAGGACATATTGCTATTGGAGAGATTTCAGTTTTGTCAATGGTTCGTCACCATTGTACCTACGAATTATTTACACATTCTTTTAATCGCACTTTTACAGCTGCCGCTCTAGAGAGGAGTGTTGACCACGTGGTGGTGGCAGTTTCAGTCTCACGCGATGAAAAAGGCTAGTTTTTGTCGGCAACGCAACTCGGAAGCTTACGATACGAACCCGCTATGCTCTCGATATCGTCCAGGAGGAATTGTTTATCTTCCGTCTTTGATGACGATTTCTGCAGCATTTTAGTGTCAAAACATGGCTGCAAGTAGGTAATGAGAAATTAAGCATTATTTCTTCAGCAACACATTCAAAAATCGAAACCTACCGTTTCACAAACGTTCATGTTGCAACAGTTTTCTATCGTAATCTCACACTGCGTTGCAGGTCGAGAAGTCATCTGCGTGTTGTTCGTCACTTTGAATCGTTTGGTAATGCGTGGTCGGTTCCGCTCGTAAATACGGCGAACTGTGCACAGAATTGCCACTAGAATGGCCAACGATGCGGTGAAGGCCAGTGACACGTATACGACAGTGCGATTGAAGGAATTCTTACAGTACGTAACCTGTGGTTCTACGAGGTGCTTTGCAACGAGGACTCTGTGAATAAAAAAAGGGTTATTAGAACGTTATGTTCCGAATCTAAACACTTAAGGAAGAATCTTAAAGAAATGTTATGCACCAAATTGGTTGAGTTCCAGAATTGAGGTAATTCAACGAGATATTGAAAATTTTCCAGTCTCAAAACTTTTTTTTATTTAAAGATCATGAAACTTATGCGAAGGCGTTGTATGCTAAACGCTATTTTTCCTTGATTTGTTTTCCGTGCTGAACCGATAAATTTTTCAAAATTAGATAACTCAATTTTGATCCGTTTTCCTCAATACAATGAAGCAGAACGTGCCAAAATAACACAAAAAGACATGAACTTAAATTGTTTTCATCAGTAATTCTCTCTAACGCACAAGAATTTGTATGTCGATCGTTATGATCAATCCTTTTCAAATAATCGGATCGCAACAATAAGGAAGGCAACTCACCCCTCACAATACTGCTGTAACTCTGGATTGCCGTTGTCGAGCGAACAGAATCGCTTCGGAATCTCGCATCGCTTCCCGGTATATTCTGAGCTGCACCGGCACTCCACCAGCATCGTGTCATTATTGAGAACGCATTTACCGTCATTGAGGCAGTAATTGTTGCATGTGTATTCCGCACACCGGTCTCCTCGGTAGCCAACGTTGCATTTGCACTTTGGTACCTCATTCTCCACAAAACACTCTCCATTATAGCAATAGTCTGACGTACAGATTGCGGTCTCGCATCGAGCACCGCTAAAGTTCTTTGAACAAGTACAAGACCTGTCACCGGAAGCGCCAAGCGTACATCGTCCATTATTTAAACAGTAGCCATCACATTTGTTGCGATCACATCGCTCTCCATCGAATTCGGCATGGCACTTGCACATAGGTCGGCTATCAACACCCACCACACATTCACCGTGAACGCAGAAATTGTTGCAAATAGGAATTTCACAGAATGTACCCTGATATTCGGGTAAACAGATACAGCTATTGGTGTTGTGGTTGAGGATGCCTTTGTTTAAGCAGATGATCATTTCGGGTTTAGATTCTACAGCTTTGTCTTCCTGCGACAGTTCTCCACTGGATTCAATTCTCACGTTGTCTATGATCTTGGAAATAACAGTTTTACAGCTTGGATTATTTTTCTGATATTCCATCAGAAGGCTTGAACGGATTATGACTGCTGATGGACGATTACCTTTGTAAACGACTCGTGTCACTTTCGAGTCGGATTTCAAAGTTTCATGAACTTCACCATCTTCTTGGTCTATCCAGTAGACATATTGACTGTTAAGTGACACGTGCGTTGGAGTTTTATCGTCACCCCTGAGAAATGTTTGTTTGTCTTGTACTTCTAGATTAGCGCTCTCGACAGAAAATGCTCGACCGTACTTTTTCTCTACCCAGTAGATGCGATTACTGTAATGGTCGACCGAAATGCCCCTCGGCTCGTAGACGGCCTCCTTATGAGAATCAAGCACTGTGCCGTTCATCGCTGCGCGAACGATATTAGATGATTGAAGGTAGCTGTTAGTCCAGTAAAGGTGCCTACGGCATTCGTCGATTGTCAAGGCTGCCAGGTCGTGATTTTCTTCGACCTGTGCTACCAAGTTGATAAGGCCGTCGGTTGCGTTTGTACTAGATCCCAGCTTATCAACTTCGACTGAGTAAACTGAATGTGTCCCTTTCTCGGTCCAGTATAGCTTCCGTTCGAGGTGATCGAACGCCAGCCCCGTTATATAGCCAGTTTGGTCCGATTTTGGTAGTAGCTTTGCTATCTTGTGGTACTCCTCCTCGGGATTTGTATCCATCGAAAATATTCTAAAATTCGGATCTTTTAGATCGCTGAAGTATATTTTTCGTTTCACCTCATCGTATGCGAAGGCTGAAATGTGATGAAACTGGTGTCCTCCAGAAGAAATTTGGGTCCATTTTTTATCAAAAAACAAAATGCCACTGTCAGTGGTGATAACGGCATCTAGAGGAGAAGATAAAATAAAAAGATTACTAAGTAAAGCAATAACAATACACGACACGTTTAGTCAAAATGCTTATTATTTGAACTGCCACTTTAAACGATAAAGTTTATTTATTTATTTATTTATTTATTTATTTATTCGTCAATCAATCAAATCGTAGACTACATATTAACATTAAGACTTATGTTCTATGACTTCGCAGGGTTCTGAAATATATTTTTAATTCTGTTGAGGGCATATTTAGGTCAATCATTTCACAATGATGATTATAAACAGTCATCATCTGATTTACCGGTCCAAATTTAGCGTAATTGGTCCGATGGCGATCTACTGCGAACAACTGTCGATTGCGTAATTGTCGGGAAGGTGCATACAAATTTAACCTTGACAATAGATCAGCTGAGTCAATGCGTTGCGAAATGATATTGTTTAATAAAGAAATCTTTGCGTAATCCCGACGTTCTTTCAATGTTTGAATGCTGATCAGCAAGCAACGTGCTTCATATGACGGGAGAGGAAAAGCCGTCTAACCTAACTTACGTAATGCATATAATAAAAATTGCTTTTGGATTGACTCTATTCGTTCTTCATGCTTTTTCATATAGGGTGACCAAACAACGCTACAATATTCTAAAATTGACCTCACATAAGCAACGTAAAGTGATTTAATTGTATAAGGATCTTTAAAGTGGAGACCGAAACGTTTTATAAAATTAAGCATATTGCCTGCTCTAAGTAAGCCAATTCTAATTGAATCGTTTGTATGTTTGATTTCCCAATCACATTGATCCATTGAAAAAGAAACAATCTGCAACCAAATCAATAAACTAAGAACAATAAAATAACGGATTGGAGCGTGATATTTTAGTAAATTTCTGTAATTGTATTAATTTATAGCTTACATAAGCAAACGATTCAAATGTTGATTGAATAAAAATGCGCAAAGTCTTCCCAACAGAAGGAAGGTATCCGGTATCTGAAAACAATCCCGAGCACGAGCGTCAAAACGACTAAAGTTTATCAACTGTCTCGGCAAGGCAAGACTATGACGAGGAAAAATCAAATCTCCAAGAAATTTACAACCTTTGCTAAACAAACGCAATCGGAATCGTTGTAGATAATGGTGATATGCCGCGTGGAGTCACGTAGACATTTTTCACACGGAATTCAGATCCGAAATGAATGGTGATGACGAATACGAAATGAGACACGCAAAAATTAAACACCGGATCAAGTTTTCGCATGCAAACATTGCGTGATGCATTCTATTGGTTCGAAAAGCTTTCGGTATATTGATAGAAGCACAGGATGCTGCGATCAAACCTAGGATCAAACAAAGTTTCCAAAGAATTTTATTGACTACAACACCCGTCAAAAACTTAAACAACCGAAGTAGAGAAGTGTGATTTGTTGGTAAATAAAATTTCCTGGCGATTGGAAGTGTCTAGCCAGATGCCTTGAGGGGATTATTTTTAGTTTCGGCACTTGCGTCTCTACTTCAATCGTGAGACGTAACGACGCAAAAAGTTGCCACTTTGACCACTGACTGAAACAGATAGATTGATGGTTGATAGACACACACAAAAAAAAAACACTATCGGGGAGTTCGTAATAAAGATTGGATTCGCTCAGCCGCCTCTACATTACATCATAAACCTGACCTTACCTGGTCGTTGAAACACAGTAATGATCTGATTTTGCCAGCTCTCCTTTTGGAAATATTTTTTCTTCTACGAAACCCATGCGTTTTTGAGTGCACCAAAGTATACCTTAAACATCCATCTTGAAGATGAATGTAAGATATACCTAGAATGATAAAAGACGGATAGAAGTGAAAAATCATTTTTGGCCATTCATGTGGAACAACATTGTATATTGTAAAATAAAATTTTAAGACTACGTTTTCTCTTTCAAGGTTTTATTGATTTCCTGTTATATTTCCAAGTAGGCTCTAATCTAATTCAAAAATATCGTATCATTATTTCAACAAAAATATTGTTGAATCAACAAAACCTTGAATCAAATATATGTTTTCCTGCATGTTGTAATCGTGTGTAATCATGCATTACAATAGATGGTTATTACAGTTACAGTTATTTGGTGTTGATAATAGTAAAATATCACCGTTTATGTATAAACATACAATTTGTAAGTACAGTCAACTATCCATAACTCGATATTGAAGGGATCATCAAGTTATAGAATTATCGACTAATAGAATAAAAAATATGTTTGTTTGTTCATAATTTTAAGCAAGGTTGCATATACTCATGTTACTTATAAAAATGTGTTACGGGATTATGTAATCATTAAATCGTATGATGATATTTTTTACTTGTGAGTTACCAGAAGAAGTTCTAAAGCATGTGTTCGCATTCCCATTCAAATTGAGCTAGTTTCACAAATTCGCAGGTGGTACAAATTCTAGATCATTGTATGAGAGTAGTGCCACCTCCGTCCGTTACCGGATAGAGCAATTGAGAACTGTCCTGGCCACGTCCTTACAACTACTTAGGATGGGAAAGGGTTTTTAGTTGAACACTTACTTAAGAGAGATGTAGAATACTCTATGACCTTTCATAAGTGTTAAGGGCTTGTTAGAGGGGAAGGTAAAGTCTCAGGATACGTTTGGTAAACGTTGCTGGCTGAATACGGTAGCAATAATTAATGAATAATCAGATAAATCTCACCAAATTCCACGTCTGAAATACCAACTAGTTTGTTCTCAAACACAGCATATTTTAACACACGTTTCCGGGCGCCAAAATCGATAAAATATAGAAGTAAAATATAAATGTAAATCGTGTAAAATCATAGAGGTAACTCTAAGACTAGTAGGTCCCGAAGAAACGTGCTCAACTTTTTGGCTCAGCACTGGTACTATCTTCGGTCCCAAGCTAATCGATTCACCCCTCGAACTATAGGAAAATCCACTAACCCCTCATTTTATCTGTCAAACTTTCATAGCGAATCAAAACAAACTTAGTTTAGTAGTAGAATTTCGACTAGAATGGGGTACGTTAATCGATTTGCTTGGGACCAATAGGCTAGTCAAGTAGTGAGCCAATTTAAAATCGTTAGTTTCCACCGGTTGGTAAAACTGCAAACATAAAGTTTAACAGAAACAAAAGTTTAAGTTAACCCATGCAGGAAGCAGATTGGCTTTTACTTCAGCTTATAAAGTATGTGTTTGACACATAAAACCTGTTTTAATATTAGCTGCAACTTTTGTTCGTTACTGAAGTCTGTATCTCTTATGCATGACGAACTAGAGCAGGCAGAACGTGTTATTGTTTTCAGTGAATGTAATTTACATACCTGCATGTAACTGACAAGCACAAAATATCATCATCTGATGATTTTACACCTCCGAAAAAAATTGTATAGCATTTGCAACCTTGATTTTAACATAATGACGTTCATTTACTCTAATACCTGGTCCTATTTTTCTACATGAATTCGAAAAATGGTTCAAGAATCCATTTACAGAAGTTCTGAGTAGTTAATTCCTAATTTTAACGGAGAAATTCTTAGGTTGCATACTGGCAACTGTCATGTATCTACTTTAACGTATACGGAGTTAGATAGTTGGGTTGGTGGATGTGTCAGGATTCGCATAAGCAGGCGATGTGACCATAGTAATTGTTTTTTTTTTTGAGGAGCTTGGGCATAAACCCACGATCTTCTACTCAGTAAGCAAAAGCGGTAGCGATCAAGCTGGTCGAGCTCCTCAGTTTTAATCTCAATCCTGTTTAATAAAATATAAACAAACAAAAAGGAAGGGTCTCACACGAATGTTCGAATTTACTCCTATATATGGCTGAATTATCTATTATTGAATAACTATTATTTACGATAATTACAGGAAAACATAAAATAAATTATTGACTGCAAACAAAATGTGACTACACCCAAGTAACATTGCAAGTTTTATGGAGGTTTTAAAGCATTCTACAAGTCTTAGTCATGGTCTCAACAAGATATTCTCACCAAAGTATTTCACGTAGCTATTCTTCAGGATACACTTTTTTCTACCTATCTTTCTATTAGGCCTATAAACATGCGTTAGCTTCGAAACTTCTAACCAAACTGAGAAATACAACAGATCACAAAAGAAAACAAAAACTAAAAATCACATCAAATTCACATCAAATTCACATGAAAACTAATAAATGAAAAGAAAAAAAAAAGATTATTTTTCGCGAAAACGAATATCTCTTGTATCGTATGCTAATTGTCTGTAACAAAAATAATATGCAAAAATAAAATAAAATTTTAAGGTTCAATTTACTTTGATGCATTTTTTAAAAATTCAAAAGCAATTTTTTTCGACGCATTATTTTAGATTGCAAAATATCAAAAGGAATCGAATAGTGCGAGCTTTTTGCAATCTGAAATAATACGTCGGAAAAAACTGCTTTTGAAATCTTCCAAAAAGCATCAAAGTAAATTGAACCTTAATAAAATGTCATGTAAAAATTTGACTAGAAGATCACAAATTTATTGGTGAGAAGTTTTTAATAAGCCCTCCCAGTTCCTTTGTATACCGAACAAATCTGCACACTACGAAAAAGTAATGTAAATTTCCGTGCCCTGAGACCGACACATGCAAGCGGCCCAAATGACATAAGAATCAGTTGAAAGAAACGAGAAAATCAATACAATCAAACGTACTTTTCGTCGAGTTGCGTATTTTTCGTTTTGGGAACACTTAATTTTACATGACATGTTTGTTTACGTTCCATTATTTACGTCAAAGATGGATTACATCTCGTGTAAAAATAGTTATTTCTAAGTGTGTGATTCTATAATCAGAATTGTTCAGTCTGCATGAAGCAGCCGATTTCATCATTGAAGTTCTATTAACAACCAAGAATTAATCGTTTGAGGCATACGGAAGCATTATGAAGGTGATATGTTTCATTATGGGAAATCACCATAGTTGCAGATATAAAGAGACTACACACTAAGATTATTTTACAGATTTCTGTAAAATTTT